TGCTGAATATTGTTCTCTGCTGCAGCTGGCTGCAAAACCCTTGAGAGAGGATGGAGCCTTTGGCTGAACAATACCCAGGGTCTGGTTCAAAACCTTACAGTTGGTGGTCAACACTGTGATTGACCATAAAGTGCACAGATATTGTCTCTGCAAGAGCAAAACCTGGTTCACCAGTTGTGTTCTGTCTGAGAAAAGAACTAAATAAAAACTGAGATGTTGCCTTAAAAGAAGAATGAGTTCATATCTCAATGAGGGAAATAAAAGGGGTCATTCTAGCAGATGAAACACTAAAATGTGATAAAGCAATTCAAAGAAGAATTTCAGGAACAATAAATAATAAAAAAACCCAAGATATTTCTTCAAACAGAGGCAGGGATGGTTTCTAGGACAAATAGGCAATCAGCATCTAAAAAGATCACTCAGAGACCATAAGGTTTCACTGAGGAAATTAGGTCTTTGCACCTCTTTGCCATGGAATTGCTGAAGATGTATCTACTGGTATCTGTCTTCACAGGGATCTTTGACAGAATATGTTACAGAACAAATTAAATGCCTACTAAAAGACTGCCAGCACCAGTAACTAGTAGAAAAAAAACCCACAATTTTTCTCTTAAAACTAGATTTTTTTCCCCTGTATTAAGGATAAAAGACAACACACAATTGAATAAGAAACTCTTCTTTCTAGCCAGGCTTCTGGGCTAGAATTTAAGTCTCCTGTGTGTTTTGTGTTGCAGAGAAGGCATTACCCAGGACCTGACACACTTACCACCCTGCATCAGTGAGCAGTTCATTGAGCTGCTGTGTCAGTACAGCCCAGACCAGGTTTTGGAGACACTTAAAGTTCTGGAATACTGCAGACTGGAAGAAACCATACAGGTAGGAAAGACCTGCCTAAGAACAGGGGCTAGAGGAAGCATTCAAATCAACTCCTACCTCTTTAAATACTTATCTTTAAGATACTTGTAGCCCAGGTATGCAGTTCCTGGATGCTTTTCCCATTGGTTTTTAACACTGCTTGTCCCCTTGAGCTGCTGAGCTGCTCTCCTGCAGCATGGTTAGTTGTATTTAATATGCTGATTCTGATTTTAGTCTCATGGCTAAGAGGAAAAAGGCTGCCAGTGCTCTGAAGCTACTGAGTAACTGCAGGATAGAGTCTGGCTGTGTTAATGTGGGTAATATGCTGAAGGTATATGGAAGCATGGGGTTTTTGGAGGCCAATGCTGCCAAAGTTTGACTAGTGCTTGGAAAGTGTTTCTTCCATTTATGAAGATTTTAACAATCTGTCCTTGATCTTGATTTATATTTTTTTTTTGGGGGGGTGGTGGTGGTTTGTTTGGGTTAAATTTTAATGCTGGTGGTGGCAATAGTGGAAGTTGAGAAGTAAATGCAGCATAACCAGTAGTGGGGGGAAGGGGCAGACTGGGTAAGGTGCCTGGGAACACATGGAGGCACAATCCTTGCTGACCATCTGGTTGTCACTGGCTGGAGGAAGAAACACTTCCAGAAACTCTGGCAGATTTCTTAAAATAGATATTTACCTTTTTTTTTTCTTTTCTCTTTTCCTTTGAACTCAGATAACCCAGAAACATCAGCTCCATGAAGCTTCTTCATATCTGCTGGAGAAGAAGGGAGATATCCATGGTGCCTTTTTGGTTATGCTTGAGGTACAGGACACTAAAATCCCAACCATGACTTTTTTTTTTGCCATGCCCTCAGCTTGGTGGCTTATGTTAAGGTTTGGTGTTGTCATTGCTTCTCAATTTCCCCACTGAAATCCATGGAAGCATTTAACCTCTGTCACACAACAGTATGTTGAGTTGTCTGCAGGCTCAGCAGATAAGTGTATTTTTCTGGCATGTCTTCAAACATCTTAGGAGATAATAGATGCTGAAATTTGTTTTTCTTAAAAATCTTTTGGCTCCTGTTTTCCTTTCCATATTTGGAAAGATGTTTATGCTACATTAGTCACACTGGGGCAGAAAATGAGGATGAGCCTTTGCAGCCATACCTTTTAAAAACACTTCTATCAAGATTCTGCAAGTTTCCTCTTCTGAGTTCTCTCTTTTGTTTCAGAGATTGCAGAGCAAGTTGCTGATGCTTATGCAAGATGATGAAAGTAAGAGTTCTCAAGTTAAATTCTATTTTGTACTAAAAAGAGATAATGCAAAGTGCACATGCCTGACACATGGCATAATGAGATCTTTAAAAAAAATATATATATTCACCTGGCTGTGGCAGTTACTGTAGTACTACTTTACTCTGATCTTGCTAGAGATGTAGAACAAGCTGTGAAGGATGTTGTTGTGTGTGTGGTCAGCTGCCCTGTTAGCTTTTTGGATTATGACTGGTACTCTTATTGGCTTACCAGACACATTTTCTGTGTTAGAACCCATATAAACTCATTAGTGAGCTTTAGTAGGCATTATATATGAGCTGTGATGAGAGACATCTGGAAGTAGCTTTTTTTTGAGGCAAACTTCTCAGAGAATTAAGAGTATTGTGCCTACAGAAAATGGGTATGTGCACAGGTGCACTCTTCACTAGCCCAAGGATACACAGGCACCTCATTAAATACAGTGCCCATATTTGTTAGTTAATTGTATCCTAAACCACAGCTAAGATCTTCCTTATTAAGTGACATGTAATGTTTTATATGCTCAGTTCATTGTGCTGTTCAGGAAAAGTGCCAAAAATCAGGACCTGTCTTTATAATTTAGTTGCTCAGCGTAGTGAACAGAGTTTGGATGAACAGCATGGTTTTAATTTGCAGAAGGATTGGGAGTTAACATATGAGACAGTTTTTAAAATTCCAATTTGTTTTTTTCCCCAAAGCTGAACTTTCCTTGCTAGAAAACATTGAAGACATCTTAATGAAAACAATTGCCCTTTGCCAGAGAAATTCACACAATTTAGACCAGCAGCAGCGAGAGGTAAGCTAATAAAAAAATGGATCAATAAAATCAACAAAGGCCTCTGCATCTCCTGAAACTTTCTTTTCAAATGCTGCTTCCCTTCTCCATCTATGGGACACTAATATGTCTCCAGCAGTCATTGTTTTCCTTTGCCTTGTGGTGTTCTTGGGCACAAATGTCAATCAGATATTAAAGAAGACACAGTAAGGTTTGAGCCAACTTTGTGGTGGCCCAAAGCTGATGCTTCTGTCACTGTGGCTGCAGGATGTTGCTGTTCTGGGAGTGTTCATCTCCTGGGTTTGGATGGCACAGAGTTCATTTTCTTCCCAGTAGCTGGTACAGTGCTGTGTTTGGATTCAGAGTGAGAATGATGCTGGTAACACACTGACACTTTAGTTGTTGCTAAGTAGCACTTAGCCTAAGATAAGGATTTTTCAGTTTCTCTTGCTCTGCCAGTGAGCAGGTGCCCAAGAGGCTGTGGGGACTGCAGCCAGGACAGCTGACCTGACCTACCCAAAGGGATATTCCAGACCAGGGAACATGATGCTCAGTGCATAAACTGGGGGGAGTTGGCCAGGGTGGGGGTGGGTGACTGCTCAGGCATCAGTCAGCAGGTGGTGAGCAACTACACCATGCATCACTTGTCTTCTCTGGGGCTTGAGTGGAGAGGATACAGCTTGCTTGAGCTCTGACAGAGAGAACTGAGGTTGCATGTCCCCTACTGAGCTTGCATTTCCACTTTGCCAATGGCAGTGACATAGAAGGCAGCTTTTCCTGAGGTGATGCATAACTTATGTGACTGAACTCAAAACTGAGAATGCTGTTCCCATCTCTGGAAGCCAAGAAGTCTGTAAGTTCTTCCACACACTGTCCAGTGTATGAGGTGACCTGCTCAGTTTCTGCTCTCAAATGATTTTATTATGCAGCAGACAGCTGCTGTGTTGTATTGAAGAGGTGTCTGCATGCACACCCTGAGGGCTTATGGCCCACCTGGCCTAACTGCAGAGATTTCAGTTAGAGTTTGCTCTCACTCTGGGTCCTGTGTGACCTGCTGGAATTGCTTTGATGATGCCCAAGTAAGATTTGGCACTGGTCACCAAATGACCAGCTTCCTCAGGACAGTATTATGCACATTTTCACAGCTCCTGTGTGTTGCTTAGAGAGTGACATCTAAATTCTCCAGTTAGGATCCACTTACTGTGCTACCATTAAGTAAGCAATCTTTACCCCACAGAGTTTACATCTCACAGGGATCAGTAGTTGGAGACTGAGGAAAAGTAGATCATTGTCTCAATTCCAGTAAAGAAACAGGTGAGAATGAAGAAAGAGGGGAGCAACAGAAGCCAAAGGCTCAGATGCCAATTAAATAATACCTTGTTCTAAGATCTGAGAAGTGTAGTTCTGTTCTTCAGAATGTGGAAGGGGGGTCTTTGGAAATCGACTCTGACACTGGTCACAGCTCACTTTTATTACTGCTGTGTTCTTATTGGGTTTTTCTTCCTCACTTTCAATTATTTCAGGCCCTCTGGTTTCCCCTGCTGGAGGCTATGATGTCCCCACAGAAATTATCTGGTTCCTCACAGTGTCGACACTCTGAATGTAAGTGGTTTGGCTTTTATGACCCCAAATATTAATCAAAATCTGTGTACTGTCTCTCCCCTGCTGAATGAACAGAAGAAAAGTGGTTCTGTTACTCAGTTCCTAAATGTTATGCTCCTGCAGTGGCTGCAGGACTGAGCTCAGCATTTGGTAGACTGCAGCTGGCAGGTATTTTTTTAGCCCTGACTGGAAGAGGGGCCCTACCACAGCTTCTGCTAACAGATTTGTTCCATTGAGGATCATCTCTTTGAAAAAGCAAAGGTGCACAGAGTCTACAAAGGCTTCCTAGGTTGTAAGTAGGTTGCAGTCTGCACTTAGGGAACTTCTGACATAATACACTGTCATCTTCCTTGCCTAGCAATTTGTGCTCTTATCACTGCACCTATTGTGTATAAAATCAGTAGAACTTGAATACACCAGCTAAATTATCTCCTCCAGTTCAAGTGTCCTGAAACTGTTGTATCAGCAGCCTGCCTGTATGGGAGCTGTAAGACTAGTTAAAAAGGGGCTTAGAGACCGTGGTCTTGGGACAGAATAATGTCTTTTGGTCCATCCCAGCCCTATTCTCCAGAGTGTGTGAAGCTCTGCATGGTTAAGGATCACAGTATATTACAACCAAGATTATGTTGTCCATCATCCCTCTGTTTCTTTCCTTCCAGTGACCATTAGCTATATCTGGACTCCTGGAGGTAGTATTGCAGAGATCAGTAACCCAAAACTATAAATCACCTCTTCCCTCAACTCACCCTTTCCCCTAAATTCAGAATGTCCCCATAGATCATCCACCTCTGGGAGCCAATGTCTGCAGAAAAGCAATCCTCTGAAATTATGCCAGAAAGGGATAATCTGCTTGGACCCTGCATGGCTATTTTGTGTTCCTTCCTCATGTGCACACTTCCCAAACTGTTTTAACTGGCTAATTATCCCCACAAAGACACTGAGTTGCTGGGTCCATGCACAGCTGAATATTGCTTTCAACTAAGTCTCAACATGTGAGTGTTTGCTGTAGGTAGGGTGTGGGAGGGGAATGGAGAGGCATGTGATATTGGGAACTTCAAAATATATTTTCTTATACAAAAAGCTGTGTGTGCTTAGTGCAGAAGAAAAAAATATAGGCTACAGATAGAATATATAGAATATTTTCAAACTAGGAAACATGAACTGAAATACAACTCAGCCTGTAATATTCATCTCTCTTTACTCCTTGAATCCTGGTGAACTGCTGGTGACTTTTATGTTTGATATTTCAGCTTTGAAGAGTTTGACAATGCAGGTGCTGAACAACATGGCTGCATTTATTGCTCTTCCTTCAATCCTGCAGAGAATTTTACAGGTGAGTTTCTCTCAGAAGATGCCAGTCTGTTCTCAGGAAGAGCAATTTCCAGGTTGTTAAAGATCAGATTATCTGATGGTCTGCTTCAAAGTATTTCAGTAAAAGTTCACTTGTGAGATAAAAGTTGCAAAAGCTGATAGAATAACCTAGGAGACTTGATGCTCTGAGGAGACAGGGGAACACACAGGCTGGTGAGAAGATAATAGAGGTGATTTCTGCAAATAAAATATCTCAAAGCTTTCAGGTACTTTGAACTGAAACTTGGCCATTTTAGGGGCAAAACCACTGTGAATTTCTTGAAACTTGGAAATAAGTTTTGCTGACAGCTGTTTAGCCAAAGCTTTGGGATGGACAGTTGTGAAAACACCAAAGCAAAGTTGGTAGGCTTTGGAGAAAGATCATGACTGGGGCATTTTTGTGATTGGTGGTGAAATGTATCATTGTAGAGATGTTAGTGAGCAGTAAACATCTTGTAGAAGAGCTGATTTCAAAATGGGAACTTGGGGTGAGTGTTCACAAGCAGATGTCATTTATTAATTTGCAAAA